CAGGATAGAAGGATGACGATAGATTGGGAGATCTGAGCGTGTCTGGGCACGGCGGGGAGTCTTGTAAAGAAAACCCCTAGATGTGAAGACAGAACATCAACTCCATTTGGCAAAGAAATCCCGCCACATCTCCTTGAACCCATAGTGCGGCGCCTTGGAGTCGTACACTTTGGCCTTGCTCACCCACCCCTCCCCACCAAGCCTGGCCAGGACGCCCTTCTGAGCACCGCCTGCGGCCCCGTCCAGGAGCGACCTCTGCGGGCGCCTCGCGCGTTCCCCGATCGTGTCGGCCAACAATGGCGCAACATCAGCAAAGCAGGCGTCCAGCTCTCGCTGCAGCATAAAGTATGGCTTCTTTGCCAGGTCCGGGGCCATAAGGTTGTAAGAGCGCGTGATGCTGTTAAGGTTGCTCACCGCGAGCTCCATATAAGCTTTCTCCGCAGCCTCCCAGGCCGGGTCCCGGAAGGGGTGTGGTCGCAATACTATTTGGCGTTGTTGTCAGCGCCACCTTATGGCCTTAATCTTTTTGACAGCCTGGTGTTTTCTTTGTCTCAGCTTCAACAGCGTGTGGGTGTTCATTAATCTCTTCCTTCTGTTCCCGGTGAAGTGTCAAGGCATCTCCCGGCAAAGCAGCTTGCCAGTTACGGCTTCTCGCCGCCTCAACCCTGGGTGTTGGAAATGCACGGACGCACGTGCCAAATCTAAGCATGCGGGCGTCATCTATCTCTGTCCAGACTAGCCTGTCCATCGACTGATGGCTTGGTCCGGTGTTTCCAAGAGGCGGCAGGGACGTGAGCACAGACGCCACGTGAAAGCGGGATTATCGTGATTGGCCACTCTGAGAAGCTCGCGTAACAACCTCACGGGTTTCTGCTGCTTGGACCCAACCGTGGCGTCGACTTGAAATCAGTTGGCTTGGTCATTTCGGTGAGGAGCGCTACGAGGCGGACGTCGCGGTTGTAAAACCCGTTCATGATGGAGAATGGAGGCGAATGCACTCCCAGATTTATGGTCGTCAAAGCCAGCCTGCGGATGTCTTGGTTTCCCTCCTTTCCAGTCTCTCATTTTTCTATCAATTCTTCTGCTTCCACCACGCGGGTACATAGCCATCATTTTCTTTATGACTTTGCGAATACATATAGTTACGTATTTAATTCATTTGTCTGCTTTTTCTTTCAACTATTGATAACCTTTCGGACAATGCCGCTCGATGCGAGAGCCATCCGGAGCCCTTTTTGGCGGCGGCAAGGCAGAGCCAGCGGCAACGCCAACGGCAAAGCCAACGCCAACGCCAACGGCAAAGCCAACGCCAACGGAAATGGGAACGGGAACGGGAATGGGAATGGTAACGGCCCTTTTGCCACAAGCCCGGAACAACCCAAGGCTACGCAGCTACCAACACATCCGTCCGAACCACCCAAAACCAGCATCGAAGTACCTCTCCTGCCATCGCCAAGTCCGACAGGTGTCGTTGTCAAGCCCCAGCCTGCCATGGAATCGGCGCCCCCCGGAACAACAAACGTCCCGGGAACGCCCATGGTAGATGCAGCCACGAACACACCGACAATGCTCGCCAGCGCAAATGTTCCCACGAGCGACGGGGACCCGTCGATGACGCCTAGCCCCAATTTTCTAGGAGCCAATTCGTCGGTGTCGCTCCTGGGGTCCACCACAATTCCCGCCAATACGGCCCCTACGCCAGAGCCGCCCCCGATTTCGAACACCAGCCCGTCCGGCATTGCCGCAGGAACGGCAGCCGGGATAGTAGGTACGGACTTCCGTAGCAAGTTTCTCCCGCCGCGGGGTACACCTATCCGCCGACCTGAAGCTCAAGAGCTAACCACAGATCCGAACAGTCGGTATCATAGTCCTGCTCGCCATCCTCCTCTTCCTACTCTTCAGATGCCGCGGCTCGCGATTCCCCTGCCCCGGTCTCAGTTGGTACGGCCAGGCCAGACAGCAACTTCAAGATCCCAGGTGGCGAAGAGCGCCCGATGCCATGGGGAAGTCCCTCCTTATCGCGGCATCAGAAGGCGCAAGAGACGCCGGTGTGCGCTCTCCGAGCCCTCCGCCGCATCCGGACTCAGAAGACGCTCTTAAACCGCCGATCCCTATCCGCATAACAACGGCAAACTCAGGTTTGGCCGTCGACAAATGGGTAGCCAGCATGCTCAGCGAGCAGACAACACCTTCGAGCGGGATTTTTACGCCCAGGCCATCCTGGTGTCCCACAGCCCAACTGCGACCTCCTCCGCAGACCCACTTCCGCCCCTCCGTCCCCGCCATGAAAGAGCACGCAATGGCGCGGCGGGTGTCCCTCGTTACAGCACCCGCCATCACTAGCCCATCGGACAGCGCGGCGGCCCAGCCTCGGGCCCTATCGGTCCGTAACAGCATGCGGTCCGTCACCTCGTGCTCGACGTGCCTGGCACCAGAGCAGCCGCTGCTGTACGCCGTTCCTGCGGACAGCACTCAGACGCCACGGCCGACAGGAGAGGACTCAGGACCCGCCGGCGCCGAGAGAGGCGGCCCCGGCGACCGCGGCACCTCGCACCCTGGGTGGTCGGAATGGTTTTATCCTAACGACGGCGCCGCGGAACGCGAGCCTCAAGAGCAGCGGGCCAACACGGGCAGCCTCGGCGCTGTGAGCATTGCCAGCAGCGGCGTGCTCACGCCGTCTTTGACGTCCTTTCCAATTTCCACTCGCCCGAGACGTGGATAATCGACGTCGGCGGACTGGGAACTCGGCGGTGTGCTAGTGTGAGGGGTGGCTGGGTAATAGATCAAAGCCAGCCGCCGATGGCCCCGCTTGGGAGGAGGAGGAGAGGGAAATACGGCCGTCGGACGCAAATGATGGTGGCTCGTCGGATTCGGAGAGGACGATGCCGCGTCGACTTATGTCTCTGGATCCAGGCGTCAGCGATCGTCCCAACAGTACTGTCATATTTCGGTTCTCCAGAGCCGTCCCTGCGACGCCGGGCTGGACTTCTGCTCAATCAAAAAGTGAATGGTGCCTAAGGTCCAATCGCTACGGTCTCGATTCCTATTGGCTACCGCCCTTGGCTTCTTGAGCTTGGCAATTTGCGTATGGTCACGTGTCAGCCACCTTGTCCGTGCCATCGTGAAACCCGACGCCCGTCCATGGGGCCTGAGCCACGCCGCGAATGAGAGCCTCGATTTCCAAACGCTACAAGTGGCTTTCCCAGGCGCTCCACAAAATCTGCCAGCTCCTCATTGTAACATACCGACTAATATGGCGACCAACGGTCCTTGGTGACGGACTTACCGACCTCGCCGCCTCTCCGGCTTGTGAGGGCCTCCCTAGCAGGTTTTAATGCGCTCGCACAAAACACTTTGGTACCACGCATTCACATTTCATCGAGCGTGCGGGTAGAGCCGCCCTGGCTGTCTTGAAAAGGCCTGCCGTGAACCGCTTTTGGGGCAACCAATCAACGCTGGCAGCGCACGCGCCTTTCCTTTTTACGCGTCTCTCTTACGCGTTCACTGGCCATTTGGTGTGGCATTTACAATCTACGATGGCCTCGGAAAGACAGAACGAGCCTGTGGTACTATAAAACAAAGGGAATAATACGAAAAAAAAGTACATCAGTCGAGTCTTTCCACCTTGAGTAATTCCAGTGACTAGCGCCAAAGGTGCCAGCATCCAGGGGCGCAAAACAATAAAAAAAACAGCCCTCTAGCCTATCACGATAACCGGTCAGCACGGTTTCCAGGCTTGACAAGAAAGTCCTCCGGGTTCTCCACGGCCTCCTCTGGGGCGCTTAGGTCCGGTAAGTCGGACACGCCCTTGACGAACCCGACCTCTCTGCCCTTGGGGAACAGCTCGATGTAGGCCGGGTTCTCTTCGGCCGTCTCCCGCTCCCGTGCCTCCATAAAGAGCCAAAGCTGGGTGCCCTCGGGCGACGAGACGTCCATATTTTTGGCCAGGTCGACCACTTGGCCTTGTGTGACTCCCCGTAGTTTTTCGACAAGGTGTTCGGCTAAACCCTCGAGCGTTAGCGCTTTTCAACAAGGGGAAATGAAAGGGACGGGGGTACATACGCTCATGGAAATTATAGATTCGTCTGTAGATCGAAGTCCACGCCCACTGGTGGTATTCGCCGAGCGTTTGGATTTTTTTGTCGCTGGCCTCCATGCAGGCCTTTTTGTACGTTTCAAATTCCTCGGGGCTAAGATTTTCCACCATGCCGGGAGCCTCTTTTATGAATTCGATCATGACCTTGGCCGCCTCCACGCACGAGTGTTTGGAACACTCGACGTAAACCCCGACGGCGCACTGTTGAGGGCCGAATCTTGAGGTCATGCCAGCAACATACCCAAGGCCTGCTCTGTGCGCAATTTGTCGAATGCTTTCGCCTTGAGAATCTGAACCAGGAGCGTTGGGGCAGCAATATACTGGGCCCGACGGCTAGGGGCAAAGAATATGACGGCATTCACGGAGCTATTTTTATTCCTGGGGTCGACCGTGCTCCGCTTGAAAAGGCTGATGCGGCCCGAAGGGGGTAGCCTGGCTCGGATCCGTGGCGGCTCCTCACCGTGTCGCCAGCTGAGCGCTAGCTGTTCTTGGCAGATGGGCCACAATTCCTTCGCCTCCGCCTCGGTTATGTCGCCGCTGATGAAGAACTGGAATTGCGCCGTGTTGAAGATGGCGGTTCCCCACTTCCGTACATCCTCGAACGTGATGGCTTTCAGCGCCGCTTCTCCTTGCTCCAGCGTAAAACCATGCTCGGAGGTGAGTAGGTCGAGATGGTCGTTGTTTTGGACCATAGAGTCATTATATCTTGCGCTTTGATACCGCTGGAGATAATCTTCCTTGATCGCATTAAAGTCGGCTTCCGTCGGCTGATGGTGCCTTAAGGCCGGCAGAAGCTCCATCAACATGGGCTGGATCACGTCCTTGAACCCAGTAACGGAAAGAATAAGGCTGTCCTCCATGTGGCCGGCTGAATAACTCATGCCTGCCTTGCCGAACCGGTCGGAAAGAGGGGCGGTAGCGCGCAGGGCCGATTCCAAGAACAGACCTGTTTTTTCGGCACATTCCGCGTCGGTAAAGACATTGTTAGGTCGGATGCGCATGTTGATCTTGATTCGGGGCTCGGCCCACGGCTTCTCGCCCGGTGCAAACCAGATGTCGCTCTTACCCGTCTGCAGGGCCTTGGGCGGTGGCCGCCGCTTCTCCTCCTCATCGGCGGTCCCCGGTGCTTGCGCCTGCCTGCCCCTCTGGAGCCCGAGCATTTCGCCCTCAAAGTCTTTTTGGGTGATAAGCGGGTTCGGCGGTGGCAGCGTGAGCTCGGAAGGCAGCTGGTCGAGGGGTAGATTGGCGGCGGCGGTATACTTGGCCATGTCGCCGGCCGATATCTTACGGGCCCCCCACTTTGTCCCATACCATTTCTCTTCTTGGACGGCCAGGTATTTTACCTCCTTCGAGAGTAGCATGAGGCGCATATTTTCAGGCCGCAAAAAGCCCAAGGTTTTGACGATGTCTTCGGCGTTAAACATGCTCCCGATCGAGATCTCGTTGCTGCCGTAAACAAGGTTCTCAGGTCGGAGGTATGGGCGCAGCATGTTGTCGGCCACTGTTTGGGCAAGGGAAAAGTCGGAGGTATGGCTGGTGCAAAAATGAATGTGATCGAGCCTCGTCACCTCTTCCACCCGTTTCTGCTGCGGACCTGCGGCCTTCATAAGGGCGATCATGTGGTATACTTCCTGGACCACGTCTTGGTAGTTCTTGACCCCGGCTTTTGTCAGATGCGCCCAAATCGACATCTCGCGGTAGTTGGTATGCTCGTACGACAGTTTGCCGCCAAGAGTGTGGATCAGCCCTTTCCCCGTGAGCACGTCGTGAACACTTCCCTCTGCCCTCTGTGTCAGAAGATGGAGTGAATGCGCCCCACGGGCCGAGTAGCCGTCGTCTTCCTTTCCAGGGAAGTAGAACTTGATGCCCAGTATGTCCACGTCTGTAACAGGCTCCACAAACGTCACCGTGGCCAGGTCTTTCTCGAGGAAACGGGGGATGGTGTCCCAGACCTTTCTGCTGAGCCCTCTGTTGGGGATTGCGGCGAGGGTGGCCCGGAACCTGTCCTGCAAGTCTTTAATGGGCAGTGGGGAGACCATAACGCACCGCATGAGGCCTGCGCAGTAGGTTTTCTTGTAGTGCTCGATAACCTTTGGGAGGAGCTTCTCCACGTCCCCCAACGACTTGCGGTTCCCGGATAGGAACGCCCAGGACCTGGGATGCTCCGGGTTCGACAGTGATCCGTCCAGATGCGAAACTCTGATGAAGTCTTCTCGTTCCTGACGCGTAAATTCGTTCGAGATTGTGTTGATCTCGCGCTGGATTGTGTCGGGATTGAAAGCGGGATCGATGAAATGTTGAAACAAGACATCGAAAACCTCCTCCATCTTGGCGCCGGCCTTCTCGTCTGCCGCTTTGGTGTTGATTTCCGCCCAAAACTTGGTTCTGGTCTCCGAAGTCGTTCCATTCGATCTCCCACCGTGCTTGGCAATGCGTTCATCCAATTCGTCTCTGCGAGGGTACTTTTTTTTGCAGTGCGTTAACCTTGCGGCACGACTAATATCGGATTAAAGGGCACTTTACCTTTCCGCATCCCATAAAGAGGAAATGCTCGGTGGCATGCGCAATATCTCCCTTTTTATGGCCGTCGTTAAAGGCCCCAGACTCGACGTTCATCACCACCGTGGACTTCTCAGCCCCGGGACTGTGAATCCACATGACCCTGAGATCATTACCGAGCTCTTCTAGGAGGTACGAGCGCCCGTCGAGCGGGGATCGAATGGGGTTATCGCAGATGACCTTGCCGCCATCGTGTAGGTGCGACGAGGACATGGTGGATTAGGGACAAGTTTGGGCTAGGGATAATGGTGTGTGCCGCCGTGTCTGTGTTGATGGTAGAAGGTAAGGTAGGATGGTATCAGAATGCAGGATGAATGGTAAGGCCATCTCGCAAGACTGCGGCTTCGCCCGTGCTTCTTATATACGAAAAAGACGTTAGGTAGCTGCATGTTGATGTCTGCTTGCCTATTGCCTGCTCGGCCGTATGCTTGGGCTTGGCTGCCTGCTTGGTTGTCAACTTGCCTGCTTGGTTCCCTGCTTCAGCGTGGTCGCCTGCTTAGTTTTTCCGGTGAGTCTTTGCTGCTAAAAGGAAGCCGGGCGTTTCAATGATGCAGCTCGTAGCACCCAGGAGTAAAAATGATTGGCCATCGGCCGGAGCTCTAAACAAAGACGCGTCGGTTGACAGCACCATTTGGGCCTGTGACTTTTCTTGACTTCCTTGACCATGAACACGTCAGAGGGAGGACCTCTGACAGGCGACCACCCCGACAGCCCCAATGTCGCCTCATCCGGCAAATGTAGTCGGTAAATGGCAAAGCCCCCGTGGTGACGGTAGCGGCGGTGGCTGGCCACTGCAGGGCAGCAATCTCGAACCAGCTGGCAACCCGTGTTCGCTCCCTGGTTAGTGGCTGCAGCCCTTCTTCGCCCCCGATGCATCGTCCTTGTATTTTCGTTTGTACTAGAGCGTGTGCAACCTGGAGGCCAAGTCCGGCCTCGCCAGCAAATCGGGCGTTCGCTACCGATAACGAGACGGAGGAACTTTGGGCGGTGTACCTGCAATAGCACTTTTGAATCATGACGAGACGATAATGGGACGCTGCTAGTGCATCGCTCCGTATGCCTGGCAGGCAACCATATCAAACTGTAACCCTCCTTGGGTTCCTACTTGCATGAAGGCGACTCGTATCCTACATTGGTGTTGGTCACACCCGGCGGTTCGGAGGTATTTGTGCCAACGAGATGCGTCCAGGGAGCCTCCACCCTAGCGCCTTGCTTTGCTGGTCGCTCACCGTACCGCCGATCCATGCAGCTCCTGGCCTCGCGAAGCCGACATGTTTCCAGCCGGAAACCTGGTGTCCAATTACTCTCTTCCCTTCCGTAAGAATCACGCAGTGTTGCGCCGCGCCAAGCGTTTCGCGTCTGCTCGCCCACCATGTCGTATCGTTGGCTGGCCGTCAACATCGCAACACAGCGATAGCTGGGAGAGGGTCGACCTGCAGCATCGAACCGTCTGCAGGGGGGGGGGGGGGGGGGGCAGCGTCTAGCAGCCCGTTTCGTGCTAGTGCGTCGCGCTCCCTACACACCCTCGCTGGCTAGCCCCTAACGCGATTACAGCTCTGGGGAGGTTTGTATCCAGAGCCTTGCGACTAAGGTCCAGGGGCTGACTGCATGCCTTCCACCCCCTTCCCTGAATGAATAGTGGGAAAATTAAAAATTAAACCTAAATCCGTACTTACATATCGGGCTAGTCGGACCCTTTTTCAGCAAACCACGCAGGAAACAACAACCCGGCCTCCAGGCTGACTTTGCAGATCCATAAAAGTCTGGCGAGTCCACCAACACCCAGCCCCCGGCGCGTCAATACGCGACGCGGTTACCGGGGCGGGATTTAAAAAAGCATGTACCCTTGGCAATCGCTGTCATAAGCGCGACAACAGGAACGACTGGCGATGGGGAGTCGAAGCGGAAGCTACAAAGGCGGCTAAGGGGTACAATGCGAGGTTTCAGGGGCTACTTCCCCGCGTACACTGTGGTTAAACGTGAGGGTGGGCAGCCAACACCACATTATTTAACTTTTCCGACGGGGTTGGTTGTTAGTTGGCACACCCTTCATATAGGTGCTTACCGAGCCCTGGGCGTGAACCACTCATCCCCAATCAGAACTAGCCACTGCTTACCGACGTTAAATATACTCCTCCTCCCCCCTCCTCTCTCTCTCTCTCCCTTTAGCGCCCCGTGGAACTGCTTGGAACGTGGGCATGCCTTCGGAAACGGCGTACCTTTATTGTTGATAGCTTGCCTTGGTCGAGATGAGGGAGACGCCAGCTATCCTGCCACGGCCAGCTTGCCACTTAATGCCGCCCTTAAATAATAAAAGATATGCTCGGTTTGGCGCGGAGGCCAATTTTTTTTGTCAGAGGCCAATTTTTTAGTCGGAGGCTAATTTTTTTGGTTAGAGCCAATTTTTTTAGTCGGAGGCCAATTCCTTATGCGTGGCTGATCACTACTGGCCAGCCTAACTCGCATGCGCGACGCGGGCGTGCAGGTCCTGACGGACTTCACCGTCTACAACGAGCTGATGCGCGACTGGCGCACCCCGCCGACGGGAGTCCAGGTCTGGCCCTTTGTCGACAGCCTGCTCGCCTCGGGCGGCATTATCGCCGTCCAAAAGGGCGAGCTCCTGCCGGGCCAGGACACCCTCCCCTGGTAAAGTATGTCAAACGTCACCTAGGACGAGAGATGTCGTTGGGTGGTGGTGGTAGTGCAATGGGGCTGGCTCTCTTTCATCGTCGTTCAGGGGGCCGCGGAGGATATTCAATTTAGATCTGGGAGCTGTTGATCACGCCGTCCAATCCCACCCTTGAGAAGAAGAACAAAGCTACATGCGTGGGAAACAGCCAGCAGATTTTGCTAGGGCCGGGTGATAGGCTTTGTCAGGCTCCTAGCTTTCTTCCTACTTTTGGGCACATGCGCTCCTGTCTGACATCCCTCAGCACCCACACCTATTTTGTCACAGCAGCTCCAGATGAAGCCTTCAGGATATTCTTCTCGCGCCCACTCAGAGTCAATCGTGCCATGACAGCGCTCGTCGTGGTCCGCCCAGAAGTCACCGTCGTCGTCGGGTTCGGTCTCCCCTGTAGAACGAGTTAGACTACACCTAGTTGAGTGGTTACAAGGGAGGGGGGTGCTTTAAGCCTACCATCATGCCATACACAGCTTGTAGGGCCATTGGTTTCGACGTCGTACTCATTGTTGCATTGCTCGCACACTTCGTAGCGCTGTCGCGTATGCTTTCGCTTTTGGCCCGTCGACGCGCCTTCCTCCGCAGGCGTGTTGTCCGCATCTTCAGTCGTCAGATCGACCAGCAGCCTGTCGCTGAAATGCTTGCGGGCCGTCTCCGAAGTCGTGCATAGTTCGCGTACAAATTCACGCAGCCGGTCGGCGCTAATTGTGTGGATGGCTTCATTGAGAAGGCCAAGCGGAGGTGTTTTTGATGGCGCCATGATCGGAGAGAATCACTGTTTGGTTGACGTGGATGGTGGATGGTGGAAACCATCGGAGCGGAGAGTGCAGCAGAGCAGCTGTTCGGGTCGGGATTGCCACAAGACGCGACGTCCCAAACACGACGGATCGCGCCGGCACGTGCCGTACAACCCTAACCCTATGCATTTAGCGTAACAAGCCCCACGGTGCAAACCCGCCGCGCTAAAGTCCTTCGGTCATGGCAGCAACCTTAAGTCACGTTATTATGGCTCACGATCTTATCTGCTGATAACAACGTACTTGAATGCCTGTGTTTTGTATCTGTGTGAGGTCGACGCGACCTTTCGGGAGGTGCATTACAAGCGCAAGACAGTGAAGGTGGATTGTGGTTGTTGTGCAGGAAAATTTTGCAGAGGAGAATGGCGTGGGTGCCAGATCTAGGCAGGCGGGCGTGGAGCCCGTTGTGGGTCCGGCGGACCAGTGAATCGGTGGACCACCTTTCATATTATCGCTGAGAGCGTTGCGCTTGAACCAGTGTCTGTTGTGACGGCCCAGGGCAGTTGACCGCACGCCGCAGGTATCCACGTGAGCACGCGCCGCGGAACAGCCCGTGCGACAAGACACCGCACCACCTTTTCTTCCGCATCGCGTGTCCCGCGCTCTGCGCCTTTCTCCCTTTCCCTCCCCATAGAAAAGTCTTCAGTCCATAGCATCAATTGCACCTGGCTGCGAAGCCTACGCTCCCTGATCGTGACATATGTCTTCGATAACCAACTGTTGGTTTTAGCCCAAGATGAGCGTGCTTCACTCACTCACTCACGCATGGATCAGCACATCCTCGCTCGTCATCGCCGCCGGCTCCGCTCCAACACTCCCCGCCATCGACTGGCTCGGCGTCTTAAAGGCCTGCCCAGATAGCACCTCGCCCGCTCGCACACCAAGTCGGCATAGTACGCCGGCGTGCACACGCTCACCGCTTTAGCCGCCCTCCCGTACGTGTAGCACATGCTTTGCGTCAGCGCCTCGAGCACATCGGCAACATTCTGGAATGGCGGCGGCACCGTTTTGGCATACCGCGCGCGGAAGATTTCGTCCAAAAGGACAAAGTAATGCGCCGGCCGCGCCGTGCCCTGAATGGCGGCGTGAGACTGCAGGAAAAAAGTCCCAGTTCCTTGCCTCGGTTATGCCCTGATCCACCACCGTCCCCGGTTTGGGGTTCGACGACCGGTCCGCGTCCCCTTCTCGGCTCGCGTAGAAGCGCGTGTGGTGTCGCTTGCCGACGATAACGACGGTCAGGCGCGGGAGCCCCTTCTTCTCCAGGCGCTGCTCTAAACGGGCATCCTCGGGGCTGTTTAGCTCTACCCTCTGGCCCTGCAAGGGAGCGGCCACAGGGATCCCTCTCTTGATTAGCAAATCTGCGAATTGCTTGACGGCCGCCGCTAGACTGGCCTGGTCGAGTGCGTTTCGGTGGGTGGGCAACGAGATCATGAAGTATGACCACACATTCAGCGTTCCGGCCGTGTTGAACTTCACGTCGACCATATTCCAGCCGCCGAACCGGACTTGGGCGAATTTTTTGGCTTTATAGAGAACCTTAGGTTCGTCCAGCACTCGCCCTGGGACGGTGATCAGGTTGGGGTTGACGGAAACGCCGAATTTGTTCTGTACAAATAGGTTAGCAGATTGCCTCCCGCTTTGACTTCGATACGGCGGAGGGATATTACCAATAGGGCGTTCGTGTCTGAAAGACCGACGATGCTCAGCCCCTCGTAGACAATCGAGTTGGCATTGTCTGCCGGTTTGCGGACGGCAAACCGAATCATCTGCCGGGTTTGGCCGGGGTCTAGCTTGGAATCGACGCTCTGGCCTGGCATGGCGATACAGACATCGGGAGGGAGGTACGTCGGCTTCTCCCGCGTTCCGACGTTGACAACAGGGAGATCCGGCTTTTGAAGAGCTTTACCATACGCTGTGGTGTGTAAGCGAGATACGGATGAGTATGCGAAGGACAAGGTTCTGAGGGCGCTCAGTGTTCAAAAAAACAACAAAAAAAAACACTCGTAGACACTGATATACCGTCCTCCCGGTGATGACGACGCGGCTGCGGCGTTGGGGCTTGGCCCTCTCCCACCCTTCTTCTTCTTCTTCGCCTTACTGCCGCCGGCTTCGGTCGCCGGACCCGGCTGTGCCGGTGGGCCCGAATCTAGCCAGAACTCAACAAACTTTGGCCCGGCACCAAACTCCCGCACCCCCGGCTGATAAGCAAGGCCATGGCCGTCGTTCGGCGTAGCAAGTCCGGAGATGGTGGAACACGTCAAGCTTCAGAGGCCAATTCAATTTGGCATGGTGATATTGCGTGGCTAAAATTACCCCCACCTACCCCGCGATCCCGTCCATTTACGCGGTAGGCTGGCGCTGCGCCTAATGATTGGCTGGGAATTGCCCACCCCTCCCTGCCTTGACAGTTGCGAATTTTTTAAGCCTGGCGCGGAGAGACAATTATACATAGGATTAAGAATGCACTAGTTTTACGCCTGTTGCGCAATATCCCCCACTACCTCCAAAGGCTACCAAGCCAGTGCGTTTCTGAGCCTGAAGCCTGAACAGGCGGGGTGCGGGGCACGTCTACATTGGAGTCGCTGGACGAAACCGGGCTTCGCAGGCTGGAACCAGGGTGGAACGGTCGGAGGGGTGCTTTGTTCACCGAGACAGAACAAGGCCATGCTCTCGACACCTAACGAGGCTTACTGTTGGGAAGTGGTCAAGGCGGATGTCACGGTCGTCGAAGCCATCAGCGAAAGCACAAAAATTGAGGACAGAGGCGCCGGGTCTCAGCGTCTAGAGCGAATTAGGAAACGGCGAGTGGGTTTCTTCGGCTAATCGCACTTGGAAATAGAAGCACAGCAGGTGGGAAGAGCAAGAATTGATTGAAGGACTTGGGGCACATGCTCGACGGGCCGCTCCTTTTCGCGGTTTAGCCTTGGTTCGCAGAGAGAGGCATCACATCCGACCTCGTCGCATGGTAGTATGTGTGACGATCTGGGTCAAGGCCTGTGGGCCTTGACCCACAGACCAGGACCCACACGGTGGACTATCATCAAGACGCGCTGAACGCGCGCCGAATACCGGAATCCCTTCTTTTCCTTCCCTTCTCCCTCAGATTAGAATCTTCGTTCGTAGCGCCAATTGACTGTGTTCTAGTTCTCGACCATGGCCGTGACAGTATGGACGCCAGCTCGCGGAAATGCCCCTGCGTGTTAACGCGAGGTTACAAGGAGGGGAGTGAAGGTACGGAGGGGAGTGAAGGTACGGAGGGGAGTGAAGGTACGGAGGGTAGTGAAGGTACGGAGGGGAGTGAAGGCAGGGTTTGGGGGTGGGGTGTGAAAGCAGGTGGAGAATGAAGGGAGTGAAGGCAGGAAGGGGTGCAAGGTACCTATCCGTGGCGCCTAGAAAAAAATTTATACGTTTTTTAAAAGCCGTTATTAGCGACTCCAAAAGCAGCTTCTAGTGCAGATTTGGGTAGACGCGGGCTATACGTTGCCAAAAAGTGGCGCTTCGGCTACATTATTGCACACCCTGAACGTGGA